GAGGCTGTGGGGCCAAAGCAGCCGCAGGCCATTTGTAAAGGAATAGGCTGTGTTCCAATGACACTGTTCTGCGAACACGGGCATGAGCCTGGTCTGGCTGCCTGGCTGTGGTTTGCCAGCCCCTGCCTCAGAGGATCACATTTTAAACTTCCACTTCATCAGGGTTTGGGGCTGTCGCCGCCCCCTTCAGGTACAATGTAATGCCCTAGACACCGGGGTAGTATTGGCAGTTTACCCCGACCCGAGCATCATGGTGCTCATGGTTCTATTTCAGTAACAAGTGCTTTGATCTGGAGAGAACTTGCCCAGGAAAATCTGTCTCAAGTACGGATAATTTTTTTTGAAGTAGAAGAAACCCTGCAGAGCCTGCTTTCTGAGCCCCCCGGGGCCCTGGGAAGGCCCCTTTGCGAGGCTGCCCGCCCGGGGAACCCTCCCCACAGATCTGGAAGGTTGACAACGCTCTGCTCATTGTCGCAGACGGGGAATCGGAGAAACAGAGCAAGGACATGCGCTTGGCCAAGGTGACCCTGCAGGGAGCTGGACGGGCCGGGTCCAAACCCAGGCTTCCGAACGGCAGGCCGCCAGCTACAGACTCTGCTCTGCTGATCTTTAATCCAGCCGGGTTCAGCTCCATTTTTAAGACTTTTTATGTTTTTCTATGCGTCATGTGTTCGACAGATATTTGAGAATTGTTTGACTTCTGGGCATTGACATTTACACTCTTTCTTAATAGAGTAAGTGTGTCAATACTTATGATTAAGTTCTTTATGGTAGATTCTTTCCCACACACTGAGACCCCATACAATCTATACTGTCTCAGCGGGTGGGCCCCCCGGGGAACACTGGGAGTCGAAGTCTGGCAGGAATGAATACGTAGAAAAGAGTGCAGTTTTGTTTGTTTTTTTTAAATCAGAGAGAGATGGTGAAGTAAGGTCAAAGTAGATGACAGCGTAAAAACCTCGACCGATACGAAATCCTCGGGAATCTCAGGAGGATGGACCGGAGCTCACTTCGGTCGACCCCTAGGCAGTAGGTCCTGGATGCCATGGCAACTTCTAACTTCTGATCACTAGTTGGTTCACTTTTCAAAAGACAAATACGTAGCCCTGGGATACTCTCTTAAGGAACGTCCGAAAACGAACCAGAATGAAATCTCAGACAGCGAACGCCCCGCTTCCCGGCCCGGGGGTCCCTCGTGATCGCGGGCGGAACTGTGACACTAAACGTGCCATCTTTCCAGCCTCTTGGACCCGATAACTTGCTTTTCGGGGTCCGTGTGTAGCTGCAAAACCCCTTATGGTTTCCTGATACCTTTCTCTGGAATCACAGTTTGGATGGTTTTGGAGTTTAAATCTATGACTTTTCTAAAGTTTGTTGCGGGGCAGGGGGCTGGGGGGCGGAGTGGCCAATCCCTTTGAGAACAGAGGCGTCTGCTCCCCCCCCCCCTTGCAGGGCCCTTTCCCGGTGGGCAGGGCCTGGCAACCTGCAGCTCCCACGGAGCCTCCTCACACGGAGCTGCTGGTCCTCTGGTTTCACGGAAACTTTTGCAAACCTGTGCTGAGCAAGAGGCGTTTAACTGACCCCATTCCTTTTAACAACCAAGCATGACAGCATGTAATAGCCTTGCGGAGACCGCGGGCCCACGGCTCTGCCTCATTACCCCCTGTCCGGGAGGTCCTCCAATCCAACCCCGCGTAGGGCTGGTCGCCCCCTTCCGCCAGCTCACCTCCTCTTCTGTCTTACTTAGCACTTTGAGCTTGTCTTGCTTTGATATGTGTTTCACTTAGTCGGGGTACCCCGTTCTGGCTGCAGAGGATGGAGGAATTCTTCTCCATGTGTCACCGGCCACAGCGCCGGCCCCCGTGACAGCTTCGCTGGAGAAAGGCAGAAACGTGTGACCACATCCCCTTTGAATAAGGACGCATTTCAGGACGGGAAATGGAACGAGGTAAAAATGTCCGTTTGGGCTTGTGGCGGGCCATGAGGGCGTGGGGTGTCCCAGGCAGCTCGTTCCTGGGAGAGTGTCCCCCAGGCTCTGAGTGGCGACAGCAAGGTCTTCTGGAAACATCAGCCAAGCAGGATGCGCTGCCCTGGCGACAGTGGGGAAGCAGCCCTGTGCCAACAGCAGGAGGAGGAAGGAGAGAAGGAAGCACATGCTCGCCCATCCTGCTCCGCTACCACCAAAGCCTATCGGGGGCGCGCCAACTCTGGGAACCCGGAGGGTCCTCTCCAGCCTGTGCCCTGCCTGCGCAGGGGGTCCCGGGGCTGCGCTCGGAGTGGGGCAGCCAGCTCCGGCGCCTGTGAGCGAGGATGGCGTGAGGTGCTCCCGGCGCTGGCTGTTCATGGGACCGTGTGGGCTACACGAACGCTCCCGCCTCGTGGAGATGCAAGCGAGCGTTTGCAACAGTGAGCAGAGCGAGCTCCTTCCGGGGCTAAACGGCAATTATAAAACTTCCTAATTAAGCATATATGCCAATGAGACTTTCGCATCAGTTCTCCGATTTAGCTTTACATACTGGGTGCTCTGTTTCTAAGGCATTAACTAGAAACACTGTTGTTACTGCCCCCAGCTGGAACGCAGAGCCGCTGATGGGGGAGAGAGAAAAGACATTATCTCCCATCTGCTCCTGCCCATTATTCAGGGCTCTGTCATCTCGTCTGCCGATGGGACCATCACCCGGATCTGAGTCAAGTGCCGCTTTTACACTGGGCCACGCTCATTAGCCACGTGTCCCCTTGGCTTTCTGCCCCCCCGTAACCCACACACTTACGGATCATATTTTCTACGGTTTGTATTGAAATGAGATTAGTTTATATGTGTAATTCGTGTTCTAAAAACAGGCACAACTGCAATTAGACATATTTGATGCCCATTTTTAATTGTGTATCAACTTGACTCACATGTTTGGTTAACACGCCTGCGGTTAGGGTGCAGACAATTAGAAAAGGTTGGCTATGGAGTGATTCAATTCATACAAAGGACAGAACCAGGCAGAGCTAATTAATGCAGATAGAGTCCTGGCCAGTGCCTGCCCTTGGGGTACGTGGCCCTCCTGGAAGGGCCCTGGAGGCAGAGAGGGGACTTGGGGGGCTAGAAATACTCTGCCTGACCTGGTGCCATTTAGGGGGCATTTCAGTTTGTGGAAATTCACCGAGATGTTCATTCCTATGTGCTCTCTTCTGAATATATATTATCTTCCCGTAAAATGTAAGAGATGGATGGATCACCTCCACATAAAAGTAAAACAGAAGTCTTCACCAAGGCAAATTATAACTGACACACACCCCCACCCTCGCCACAGAAGGCTAAAAATAGACCACAGCTCTCTCTACATCTATCAGGCTAATTTCCACAGGTCAACAGAATCTGGGGGGCGGCCTGCACCCGTCCCCACCCGGACAATGCAAACAACCTGGAGGGTAAATCAGGCTGGACAGCGTTTTGTGGAAGTTTGTGTATTTTCTGGCTTTAAAAAGACTTAGAAATGATCATAATCAGAGTATATTTGGATAGTGTGCCAAATTGACATTTTCTGTTTCCCTAAATCCTTTGAGTGTCTAATTATATAAAAAATTAGGAACAATAATTGGCGGTTAGAATGATATAGAATGATATATATATATATATATACACACATATGGATATATATATACACACACATATATACACATACACAGGGTGGGGCAAAAGTAGGTTTATAGTTGTTAGTATGTGAAACAGGCCTCATTGTATTATTATTTATTAATTATTGTATTATTTTCCATACGAACAACTATAAACCTACTTTTGCCCCACCCTGTGTGTGTATGTATACACATATACGTCTAAATATACACACTCCTTCCTTCCTTCCTTCCTTCCTTCCTTCCTTCCTTCCTTCCTTCCTTCCTTCCTTCCTTCCTTCCTTCCTCTCTCCTCCCTCCCTCCCTCCCTCCCTCCCTCCCTCCTTCTCTCCCTCCCCTCCTTCCCTTACATTTCAGTCGTCTAACCCACAAATGACACCAGGAGGCCGCCGCGTGACTGCAGCTGGGCTCCATCCTCGGACGAAACAAGTGCCAAACCAAGTGGACTTTTTGTTGGCAGGCGCTCAGATGTGGACTTTACCATGAGGTCGTGTCAGAAACGTCAAGATGGAGAAGAGTTCCTTCTCAAATTCATTTCTCACATCATCAAAACCATCCTGCCTGTGGACAACTTACAGGGACACAGACCATGCCCCTTGAAGGGGACCAGGGCAGTGCCTGGAATAGAAAAACGATTGGATAGAATTCTTAACACAGTTAAAAAAAAAAAAATCAATACCTCCCAGAGTCCCTTTTGCTTGAGCAGATAAGCCAGCTAAGTAATCTGACAGTTACAGAATATTGAAAAATAAATTCATGCAATAGCTAGTACAGAAAGGGGTTTCCAGGGGGAGAGAGGTAACAATAAAATGAAAACAAAACAAAACAAAACAAAAAGGTGGAGAATTGGAAAACACAAGCTTATCACACACACAATGCATTCTATAGCTCATTGTTACTTGGAGGAGCTTCTACCACTACTGTGTAAATGCATTGTTTCATTCCTCTAGTAAGTTCAAGGTAGGGCTTGATGACTTTAAAATGACAGTATATGCTTCCATAGAACGCATACTAAGGTACCATTGTTGTTCCGTTTGCTCAGGGACAGAAGAGCACTAGAAATCATTCTTTAATTGGCAACATCCGGAAAATGCTTTGGCATTTACACGAAATATACTGTCCTTTTAACTGCGAGGGAAATTGATACTGAGCATGTGCAATGGAAAGGAAGCTGGCAAATGTCAGTGTGAATAATGGGTGAAAAAAAGGAATGAGGGGGTGTGGCATCTCAATCAAGATTAAAATGAAACTGATAAAGCAGCATATGGACTGGGTAACAAATCAAAAGCATGTTTATCCACTGAAGGAACTGGTTAATGGAGTCTGCCAGCACGTTGCCATGGAAACACCGACTGTGGAGCTGCACCATCGCATACCTTATCCAATACATTCCTGGTTGCTGGTAGTAGTCCAAAGACCCTGATCTCTTGATGGTAAACCCGTGGTCCAGCTGAGCAGAGAGAAACGGGCAACTCAGTGGATCGACATTGTGCTACAGAATTAAGACTCCAGACCAAGCTGTTCTGCGACTATACATGGAAATATAGTTACAATGTATCTTCTGTGGGGTGACTGGCTAACATGCTAAGTCTGCACACTGAAAATAAAAAGGCAAGAAAAGACACTGATCCCTCATGAATACTCCAAGGCCATCGGTTAGAAAAAAATCTAATTTGTCAAACAAATTTTTGAATGCACCTTGAACAATGTCTTCGTAGCCTCAAAAGGTATAGACACCTCTTCAGATTCTATAGCAAGGAAAACGCTTTATGATTAAATAAAATACTAACATCAGCTTTGGCCACATCCAAGAAAGCAAATTGGACCCCTGAAAATCTTACTCCATTGGGCTTAAATTTGAGGGCATCATAAAAATGAAATACAAGATGGAAAGACTCGAGGTTTGAATCCCCACATCACAGTAACTTGGTTTTCCTCCTTTATGCATTCATCTTCAAAATCAGAGGGACACTTAAAAAACCAATTACGTTTCTGAGCCCTGGCTGGTGTGGCTCAGCGGTTGGCATCATCCCGTGCACCAAGAGGTTGCCGGTTTGACCCCCGGTCGGGGCATGTGCCTGGGTTTCAGGCTCCATCCCCAGTAGGGGGGGCGCAGGGGACAGCCGGTCACGATCACTCTCACATCACTGTTTCTCCCTCTCCCTTCTTATCGCTCTAAAAGTCAATAAAAAATATTTTTAAAAGGACATAGTATAAAACAGTCAATTTTCTCTGTGAAAATATAAAAATTGAAACATAGTTTTAGCTGCTTGTTAAAAATGCATATTGCAGTTACGTGCTATGATGAACAGAAGGAGGCATACATGGAAGACGGATGAGCTCTCCAAGTTGTTCCTCCAGGAATAAGGTGGTGGCCTTTGGCTAGCTAGGAACAAAAGATTCAGTCCCAAATTTGAAAAACAGGAATCATGCTGGGTGCCCACTCCCCAGGTCACGACAGGCCCAGTTGCACCCTGTTTTTTATCAGGAGGTGGTGGGTGCCTTCCAGTGGGGGTCGCGCCGGCCGTGCTGCGGACTCTACTTCTCAATCCGAGGAGGTATCCGAGCTGATGCGGGGCGCCAGGTGCGGACACGGAACCCCTGGGAGGTGTGTATTCGGATGGTAAGCCAGACCCTCCCCGTGTTCACACAGCAGCAGTGTGAGATATTCAGCTTTTAAAGAATGTACATATATCATTTTATTTAGAAAAAAAAAAGTCGAAGTATGCTCGCTGTTAGGATGAAGGCCTGAATTTCTGTTTCAGTGGAGAAGAGGGCTCCTTGGAACCTCGTTCTCTGTTGCCACCTACAGGCCAAGTGTCCGTAACACCACACCCGGAACCCCCTGGTGCAAAGGTCACTGCGGACTGGCGTCCTAGGATTGCAATTATTTTCACTCTGATTAGTATGGATTTGTTCCATTAGACTGAAATGCTCTATTTGCATGAGCAAAATGCAAAAGAACTTTAAAGCATTTTGAAAATGATTGGTTAAAATAATAAACAGCATTAAATGAGGAAAAATAAATCGGAACTGACATCTTAGTCATCGGTTCTTCATCAAGCTGAGCAAATCTAATAATGCCTCCCTCCTCTCCCCTAGCTCTCAAGAAGTCCACCGTTAAAATGTCATCTCTAATTCCATTTTATGTATATAAATTGCATTTTAATAACCTTTTGTTTCCCTTTCTCTGTTCTGGTTTTTTTTTTCAATCCTCCAACTCCTGGCAAAGGTAGCTGAGGGACAACGGAGGCTCTGTGAGAGGCAGAACACTGGCCCGTTCAGGACAACGGTTTCCGCCTAATCACGCTGTCTGACCTGGATGTCAGAACACTTTCTCCTTCCAGAAGGACTGTGCGGTCCCTGGGAGGCCCAGCGGATAATTACTCCCCGAGCCGACTCAAGGACCTCTTGCAACCTTAATATAAAGTTATCATTTGTCCTTTCTTTGGTCTTCATAATGTCAGGGGCGGGAAGCAGAGAAGGAAAGTGACGATACCAACAGAAACACCGAGGCCCAGAGCACAGGTGCATGTTAAACCACGTCATGTGATATGTTCCACCTGTGTCTTGAGTCTGTGTGCCGGTCGGTTCTTCATTGCCTTTGTCACTCTCAGGGAGAAAATGTGTCATGATTCTTTAATAGGCATCATTAATCTCCAGCAGGTAAGTTAGGTTTCTAACTAAAGAAAGAGAAATGCCAGTTAAAGACTAATGATTTCATTGTTGATTTTCTGGGAAAAAAAAAAACAAAAAAAAAAACCCAAAAAACAAGCAGCTTGACACTACATCCTAAATAGCATTTTTAAAAAAAATTTTAAAGATTGTATATAATTCCCAAAAAATTCAGTCCTAAAATAGAGGCAGATTAAAATAAAATACATCACTTGATAGCCTCTGGGGAGAGCATATGCCCATGGGAAAAATTCTGTCTGAATAAAATTTATGCTGAATCAGCTTTTTTCTGTATCCATCAAATAGAAGTCATTACAGTGTTATATTAATTACAGGGCTTCCTAGCATGTGCGTGAATTAATCATTATACTGCATTGTTACACTGTCAAATGGTCTTTGTGGGACGCAGCATTTAGGAAGTGTACCCCTTCTATCTACCACTTAGACTCTGCCTCACAGCAGAATACTGCTCCTTTGCAGTTGTACTTCAGTTTGAGTTGGAATATTACTAAATTCCAAAGCTGTCTTTTCTTGTGGCAGTCCTCGGAGACTGTGGTTTTACACTTTAAGACTGTTCTGGAGCAGGAGCCGACTTAACTCGTACTATTCCGAAAGATAAGAACAGAGGCAGCCCAACTGAACGGTTTCTGATCCCCAGCCCCGCCCTGGGACTGTGCGCCCCGCTGCAGGGTCTTGTGGGGGGTGTGGACACGCAGGGGGGAAAGCGGTCCAGAGACGGGGCACGCATGTGTTTATGACGGCCGTTTCTCCAGAAACGAAATTTACGGTGATACTCTCTTTCGAGCTTGAAAGAGTCGTGGTGACAGTCAGCATGTGAATCAGGACTTAGAGCTCCCAAAGCTCTTTTTTCAGATACTTCTCCAAAAAGCTCATTATTTTGTCTCTGAGTTAAGTTGATAATTACTTCTAACATTGTCGTGGATAAAGAACGTTAAGCAAGCAATTGAGGCAGAAGTCAGCATCACCAAGTCCATTGCGCAATGCGTGTCTACGACCCGTTTGTACAGTTCCCATGGAAACGTGAGTGATGATCTGAGAAATGGATATTGAATTACATTCAAAATGGTCCAATTATGATAGTTATGGGGAAAAAATTAGTGGACCTTTGATCTTCAAATACTAGCTGGCGTTTTCTGAAATCTGCTTAGATGACGCTTTACATTTTGGAACTGACCCAGGTTTGGATAAGGAGGATGTCCCTCATACCTGCTTCATCTGTCATTGGGGAACTGCCCTGAAGTCCCCTCCCTCAGTCATTCTAAGATCTCAGAATACCACAAACAAACCATGATTGAGCAACCAGGCAAATCTAACCAGAGGCTAATTAAAATGAAAAAGCAGGAAACACAAAAACAAAAACAAAATGACAGCGATGGGCAAGGCACCCTCCCTAGCAGCCGGGAGCCCCCGCAGGGGCAGAACTGCAGTCCTTTTCGGGGACATTCCGAAGTCAGACTGGGGGATCAAAAGTTTGGAATAGACACATCTCTCGAATGAATTACGAAGACAAAGCATAGGGTGTCCGGTTTCGTTGAGAATCACCACGCTATTTCAAAAAAATCACTGATCAAATATTAGCCGATAGCAAAGAATACCGACAATGCGGGAAGACACGAGTCGCTGTACTTCTATGTCGAATGTCCTCAGAAAGAACTAAAGAGAGAGGGCAAGAAGAACAACCTGCAATTTTAGATTCTCAGCAGCACCGAAATGCAGGGATGCCCCCTATTTCACACTGCAGGGGTACTCAGGAGCCAGCAACTCACGGAAGGGTTCCATCAAAAACATGGAATGCAAACAGTCCCGGAAGGCGTATGCTTGCATGTGAGCACCCAGAAGCCCCGTGGAGTGTCGAGTGACCCAGATCTGGGGTCGGTTGTATCGAATATCTCACTCGTATGTGTTTACTTCTCTCTGGAGCTTCAGCACAACCAAAAACGAAAAGAAAAACGCCGTAACGTAGTTCAATACTCAGCCCTGCGGACGAGCATTAGGGATTATTCAGTAGCATACGGACTTTTTTTTTTTTTTAACCAATTCAATAACATAGTGTTTAATTTCTTTGTTTAGAAAGAAAAACAGCTTACGTGATTTCACATTGAATATGCTATTAAAAAAGAGGAAATGATTAAAAACAAGTAATCTGGGACTTGAATATATTTACTCTAGAATCCGACACCAGGAAGTATGAGGTTTCATTATTTCTCTACCCAATTTAATCTCGGAGCTGCTCTCCAATTGCATGTAGTGTGTGTCTGTGTGTACAGGACAGGGAAAAAATCCTGTGCGCCCCGTCAAGGAAACGTTAAACGTTAAAAGACCTTCCGCTTCACAAGACAAAATTTCTAAGGTCCAAGGCGCCCTCATTTCCTCGGGGGCTCACACGATTCAATTCCCCTGACCACCTCAGCTTCCCGCTCTGCCTTGGCTTTTGTTCTGGCCTCGTGCACACACCCACAGGGTCCCAGTTCTCCGTGATGGTGTGCGGCTCCCCCCGCCCCCCCGGGTCCTGGCCAAAGGACACTCTGAATTCCTTTCCTAAGAGCCCATAAGTTTGCATTGGCGCACAGTCCGGTGTGGGGGAGGTTTTCTGCTTCAAGAAATAAATCATGAAATTAATATAAACTGCAAGACGCCCTGGAGGTGTTGGATAATGATGTGGCGACCCATCCAATCAGCGGCAGAAGCGCGGGACGGGTTTTAGCCCCAAGCGCCCTCCGTGCTTCCACCAGGCCGAGCTGTCTAAAGAAATGACCCGTCTGCTGTCTCTGGGTGGAATCCCCTGAGCCACGCCCGTCCCCTAGGTGGACTGCTTTCGGAGAGTCAGAGGTGGGTATTTCAGATGCTTACTGCTATGACAGAAACTCCAGCGGCCGTGCTGTTCGGCTTGGGGCCGGTGTTGAAATGCTTCTTTATCTTCCCCGCTACCGACAGCTGATGGTCATTTTCTGGGAGGCCGTCATCCTGGGGGTGGGGGAGAAAGAAATGAGAGATGGAATATGAGGCCACAATCTTCCACGAACAGGCAGCGATCTTAAAACTCCTAAGATTTCAGAAATACACGGCCCCATGTCCTCTCGTTGAACAGTGCTGTTGGAAGTACCTCTCCAAGGTCACATCCTTTCCCACCTCTGTCGTAATCTGAATCTGCTGTGTCCTCTGACCTGCACTTTGGTCCCTAAATACAAATTTTTATGTCTGTTGTTTCTAATAAAATCCATTTCTGCCATGGCTCTAGAGACCTATGTCAAAGAGTTTGTTAATTTGGACAACTAAACAAAAAAATTTTTACTTTGATTTTTTTTTTCCTGACCCAAGAGCTTTCTCCTCTTATCTCATCATTTGGACCCACAGAAACGGGCCGTCTTGGGCTCCTGCAAGGACCCATAAGTAAACAGCCTGGTTCCCCAGCGGCTCCCTCAGCCGCTCCCCAGTCCCAGACACCCTCCCAGGCACAAGGTTCTTCCCCAAGTTTTAAACCTCCTCGCGGCCCCCCGATCATGTTGTTATGACAGGTTCACGCTGGAGCCCGTGGTGACCGGGGCTCTGCCCTCCGCCAGAGCCGTCTGCTGAGACAGAGCAGCAGCCACCTGAGTCACGCCCGTGCCCATGGCGGCGGGGCCACGGAGAGCGCCCGAGCCGGGGACCAGAGGCCGGCTCGGTTCCCCACGGCGCCAGGTCTCCACGCGGAGCTCGGCCCGTGGTCGGCGCTGACTGAGCATGTGTGGAGCAAATGGACGGACGGAGAGGACAGCGTCTGTCTCTACCCTTAGAACCCACGTTTCTGGCAGAGCCTCCAGCCCGGCATTCCCTCTGCCCTCCCTCTCCGTCTCCCGTGTGCTGTCTCGGCCCCGCCAGGAAGATGCACCCGCTTCCGCGCGTGGCCTGGGCTCTCGGCACGCGGCGCTCTGTTCACGTGGCCGGTGCTACCGGACCGTCCACAGTGGACCCGGCGCTGAGCAATGGTGGGGAATGAGGGTGACGACGAGGCGAGGACCTGTTCTCTGGCACCCTGCCTCTCTTTCTTCGAAACCTGGGTCCGAACCACATGTCCCAAAGCACTTCCCCTGATAAACCCGGTTCATTCCAGTGGTTCTGCTGTGAGCTCCCAACGCTCTCTCATCCTGCATATCCGCTGGGTGGTTTCGTATGCATGCAACGTACATGTAACACATAGCCACAACATGCATGTTACATAGAACATATATATGACACACATGTACGAACTCTGAGCTCATGCCCTTCTGTACCATGTCATCCACGTTTTCTGTATTCTTTTAAATTTTTTTTCTTTATTGATTTTAGAGAGAGAGGAAGGGAGAAGGAGAGAGAAACATGGATGAGAGAGAATATCGACTGGCCGCCTCCTGCACGCCCCCCACTGGGGATGGGCCCACAGCCTGGGCATGTGCCCTGACCGGGAATCAAACCGGCGACCTCTTGGTGCAGGGGTCACGCTGAACCACTGAGCCTCACCGGCCGGACTTCCTGCCTTCTCTAACACACCCGCCTGGCCCAGGGCTCTGCCCACGGTGGATTCGCAATCTGTGATATTCTCGCATTGGTTTAGTAATGGTAGAAGAAGGGACAATTATTATGCTTATTGAAGCATCTGAAACCAAACCTAGAGGAAGGAGGTTTTCCAATGATGCAGAGTGAATTCAAAATTAAAAAATAATAATAATAAAAGTAAAACAGTTCTGTACTGTGGAAAGAGACAGGGATGAAGTGAAAGTCAGTGAGGGTCCCAGGGGGACGATCGGAGGGAACAGAGAGGGGGCCGTGGACGTCCCTGCGCTCACAGGCGTGGGGGCGGGAGAGGAAACGGTCTCTGCCCACCGAGCTCCCGGCGGGCCAGGTGAGACAGGCGCACACCCTTGCCCAACGGCAGAGAGGGCACAGGACGAGGCAGCCGTTCCCGGCGGGCACGTCGTGGTTCGGCGAGGGGTTCGGGGGAGGGGGACACGCTTTCGGGTGCGAGCGGTTGGCACAGGCTGCCCGGACCCTGCGGGATTCGACCTGGCCTTAGTGCCGGGGGCATCTTGACGCAGCAGGAAGGAGGGTGAGGGGTGGAGTCCAGACGTCGTGAGCGGGAAGCCACAGGGCACGTTTGCCAAGCAGAGCCGACCCGCCGACCTCCGGTTCGGCGTGTATGGGGAGAGGACTGGCCAGATGGACGCCGAGGCCTGAGGCCTGAGTCTCGATCAGTAAGAGGGTGTCCGTGTGGCGAGTGGGGGACCCCGCCCTTGACTCGGGGGTCGGTCCCAGCTCCCCCGTGGGAGAGAAGTCTGTGCCGGCCACAAAGAACTAGGACCGCACTGTCCGAGCGGAACGCACGCGGGCGAATCTGATGGGGTGGCGGATGGCCCAACAGGCCCCTGGAAGCTAAGGCAGATTTTGGGAGGATTCGAACACTGGCCGAAGGGTACACTGACGAGCCCTTACTGAAAGCTTCACAAATTTAGTGTCACGCATCTGCAACGACGTGGGTTCTGCCTGAGCAAGGGGCAGCCTGACACAGGGATGCCCACGGGGCCCCACGCCCAGCTCACGGGTGTACTCCGTCGCCTCTAACCGGGCTCCAGCCACCGCGGCACAGTGTCGTGTACGTCTGTGCTTTTGACTGTAAAGAAGCAGACGGAAGGTTGGTTTTTCTCTTCAGGACAAAAACAAACTAAAAACCCTCGGGCATATCTGTAGTCTCAGAAGTTAGTGGCGCGGGCCAGCTGGGGGTCAGGAAAAGGCCAGGACACAGGGGATGACGCCGTCCGCCTTGGGGGGTGGGTTCCCCTGCCTCTGATGAAAGGGAAATGAGGGAGAGGGCCTGAGGCCAGTCTGGAGGTGGACAGAGCAAAGTCGAAAGAGAAAGGCAGGGAGCGGACGGGAACAGCAGTGTGGACGTTATGCGGCCAAGGGCTAACCTGTCTACACGTATGATCTCCTCAATGCTCCATGAGCCTCTACCACATGCCTTACCAGTCCCATTTCAGAGACCAGCAAACCGAGGCGCACACGGCTAAGAATGTGCTCAAGGTCACAGGGCTGAGCGTCCGAGCCAGGGCCCCACAGCCGGGGAACTTCTGTGCACTCACGAGCGCGGTGTCCGCGACCACGGGCTCCCAGCGCGCTGGGGCGGGGGCTCAATGACTCTTCTTTTCCACGACGAAGCGGCACAATGGTGAGGGGGTGCGAGATGAATTAGGAGCTGGGAACAAACAGACTATTTGGACAGGCCGCCGTGGAGGCTGGGGCATGTGAATGGAGGTCAGTAAAAGGGACCCCGAGCACCTCAGCAGACCCAGTGGACTGTCTAGGGGAGACCAGGCACCCACTAATCTGAGACGAGGCGATGCCACCTGTCAGGTGGGGGCAGGCCGTGCGAGAAGCTCTGGCTAACGCTGATGGCACGAGGCGGCACTGGGCCAGCAGGCTGGTGACTGGCACCGGCTGGGTTCAGCAGCCTGGGGTGCACATCCAGAGAGAACAAATGGCCGCGATTCCGCAGGAGCCACAGGGTGGCCCCGACTGCCCAGGTGGAGAGTTACCCTTCCAGCTCCGCCCTGCCTGCGCCTCCTCCCTTCCCCACCAGCAGCCGCCTGTCCCAGAAATGTCCCTTCCCTGGGTTGTCCCTGCCAGTTCTTGAACCAGAGCCTGTTTCCTCACCACACTCACTGCGGAGTCTGTGGTCACTTCCCAGCCCTGCTCTGGTCCCAGCCTTCCGCCAAGACTCCTGGCCACGCTTCTTGATGTCGGGGCCTGGGGCCCAGGCTTCCCCGGGCTGTCAGTCTGTGGAAGCGATGGATTGAAGGGAGTAAACAACCCTCCCAGGCTGTGAGAGATGCTTCCGACTTCAGGAATCTAACAACCGTTCGGGGTGCGTTCCCAGTGCAATGAGGTGTCTCGGGCAGAGAAGGTAACAGCTCCCCCCGCCCCCAGCAACGGAAAGGTCTGCGGAGTTTCTGTGTCAATTCTGAAGGCTCTCCGCTTAATTGGATTAAAGGCATGAACAGCTGGTTTTGCTGGGACCTAATCTGTACCTGAGGCATCTGGATTGATGATGGAGATTTAGTTAATTTACTCTCTTGCACCATAAAATAAATAGGGCCATTAAAAACATACATTTTTATATACACATCTTTATCACCATTATTCTGAATAGATTATGTGCCAAAAATGTGCTATGAATTTTCTAAACATGACAAACCTGGAAATATGTTGCAAATCGCCATAGTATTAGTACCATACATTCCGGTCTGTAATTTCTGGGAGTCATTTCTTGTCTGACACAGGCTGGTTGTGGTTTGAGGTTAGTGGTTTTTGATTTAGAAATTCCCGTCCACCACTTGACAGAGCATTGCAACTGACAAGAACAAAATTAGTTTGCAAAATGGAAAATGAACTCTCACAGCTGTCTGTAGGAGCCCGGGCCTCCTGGTCTCCATTTCTCGGCGGATATTGGGGAGGTGTGGGTGGCGGTGTGGGGGCCTGGACCTGAGGTCACTCAGTGCAGTGAGTTCCCCTCTTTCCTTGGGGAGACCATTCCAGGGGTCATGCTTCAGCAAATCCTCCTCCCTCACGGAGTTTTGTTTTTGGATCGTGCAGCCAGTTTTCAGTCTATCCGCTGCAGACTCTATTATTAATATCTGTAAATTTATGAGCGACATGGCAGGCTTGAGCATTTGACTCCCAGAGACTTGAGTTTGTTTTAAACGATGTCAAGTGTACCAGAGCCCTCTTCCACGACAGCTCCTTCCCCATCCGGCCCGTGGCCCCGAATCTCGCTCGTCATCCCCAGCTGCATAGCACCCCGGGACTCCGGGCTCCCCTCAGCTGGGCCCTAGCGTCCTCTGCGTCTACAATTCACACCGCACGTGGGGAGAAAATATGAAGTGAATTAAGATCCACCTTGGAGGAAGGAGAGGATGACATGCCCAAATAAAAAGTGGAATTCCAAGTCATCATTC